CATTTCACTATTATCTTAATTCATTCCAGTTTCAGTAATAGCAAGTCATTATTGCTACTCGACGTTTGTGCATCTGTTTTCAGCTTCACGAAGCGACGGCAAACATAGCAGGGTAGGTTGGGCAGAGGCAAGGTCAGGCAAAGCAAGGTCAGGACAAGGGCTGTGCACAGAGTGCGCAGAGAAAGAGGAAGGAAAGATAGCGTGCGGACTGAAGCTTGATTGTAGGAGAATTGCTTCGGCATTCGCCTGGGGCTGATCGTAGAAACCACGGAAATCTACTGACCAGAGCAGCCGGCAGGTAGACTTCTCCTCCAGGCAGCGAGCGGTTTAATTCTATCTAGCTAACGGGCTAGTGTCAAAAAATCCTGCTACAATCGTTCGGACTCGAACCCGAGGACCTCCCGGTCAGAGGCACCGTTCAGGCATCAATTGAGGCCCTGAGCCACTTCGGTCGGTACCGTCTTGTGAATTTCGGAAACTACAGGGAAGCGGCGACCAAACGTCGGTTGCCTTCACTCAGACGCGTAGCGAACGGCACTGCGCGAGGTAGCTCGTTCGTAGTGATTTTTAATTAGCTATTTAATGATTTTTAGTGGATTTTTTATGAATTCTGGAAATCCGGAAACCTTTCGAAACCATTTAACTACCCTTTTCAGCATCGAGTTCGCCGTCCACATTCACCAAGTAACCATGTAATAAAATTATCAGAGCGAAATTATCGTTGCCAGCATTCAGAACCAGTAGAAATTGGGAAATCATTATGGAAAGATAAATAAAGAATACGTTAACATGCTAGACGTTTTTAATAAACAAAAAAAGCAATAAAAGCGTATTAAAAGCTAGTAAACATTATATTTTCAAAATATATTTAAGATAATAAGTGATTGAGCGCGTTTCGCGTAAATATTTGGTTTAAAGTATTTGAATGAAGTATATTAAAATAATGAGTGAGTAAATTATATTATATGCCGAATCAATAAAGCAATAATTTTACTCATCTTAGAGGAGCCAACGGAGGATAGCTGCATGAGTTTGCAAACGGAGAATTGCAATTTATTTTCAGTTTGTTTTAATAAGCCTTCGCAAGAAGCCCGCTCCCAACATCATGAATGGCAGAATTTGTAAACATACAACAAACAAGAAAATCCGCACACGCGCTCATTCAAACAAGTTAAATTTGCTCCAGGTGAGATATTTCGGTGGCGGCAGCGCACTCAGTGAAGAGACCGGCTGTGAACGGTCGCCGCGCTTGTGCGGTTGTCAGCGCTCGATCGGAGGCCACCGGTTGCAGAAAGCGCTCCAGCGGCCGCAGCCAGGCGGCAGATGGACTGACGGTCACGGACGGTTGCTTTTCCACAGAGTGGCGAGCTTTATTTTCTACGCCAGAGCCTCGCCTTGGGCTTTTGCGTTCATCAGCCAGGTAGTCTGTCGTGGCTCTGCCAAATATTGCTGATACGAATAGAAACATTAACTTGAAACGATTGCGTAAAGTTTAATTAGATTAAAATCATCTTTATATTTTCAATTTCTTTCCTTTGTAATTGTGAAGGGATATTTCTCGTCTTCTTAAAGTTCTTTTGGGTAACTGAACTCTATCTTCTCATACTAAAACTTTCTACACATCAAGGACGTTTTTCTAGTTAAAACTATGATTGTGTTCTAATGATTTTTTGCAATGTGTAAAATAAACATTCCAGTTTTGTATGTGATGGAAGAGAAAAGTTCTGCAATTTTGTTGGTTATTAGTAGTAAAGAGTAGTTGGATATTAGTAGTAAGTAGTGGTTAATAGTATTAATCTTTTATGTTGTCTCTTCTTTCTCACTTTTTATTACTTTCTCTCATATTACATTACTACTCTATAGAGAAATGTATGTAATATTGCAGAGAAAAACTGATTTGTCGTCAAAAAAACAACAAAACTTAGGTCCCTGATACCGAAAAAGAGGAGGATTCTTGTTTCTGATTGTAGTAAAGAAATTTTTCTAACACGTTGAATATTCAGAATCTAGTTTTTGTGAATACTTGAAACCGAAAAATATCTTTACGGCAAAATATCTGCCCGCCCATCTCTCTGTCCGTGTCAAGAAGATAAACTTATTTTGTAAAAGTACCCAAATGCTGTGCAAATGGATAGTTCTCTAGAGGCATTAACTGTAATACTAAAACTGTAATACTAAAACTGTAATACTAAAACTGTAATAAAGTTGATTTACAGATGTATAAATCCGTACTACAAATGCGACAAAGCGAATTTAGTTTGTTATTGCACTCTGAAAATGTTGCTCTGAAAATTTAGATAAATATCACTCTACTCCTTGTTTCTGAGAGCATAATTCTGCCTCCATCGGCATTGAGTTAGATGAACATCGTTTATTCGTAATTATCAATTTAGTAGCTTTGTTCAACCCTAATTGTAACAGTAATTTGATACTTAAGTGCACCACTCAAGGAGCTCTCTGATTTCAGAGCTTTGGATGTTCAGTAAGCCATCTTCAGATTACTAAGCGTCTCTTTGATGGGGCAAAGCAAATCAAAGCCTATATTCCAGGAAACCGAGATACACCCCGCTCTTGTAGTGAATCAGTTTTATCTTCACGGATTGCAAGATCCGACTTCCACGAATTCTAAATACATTCAAGAAGAGACTTGGCAAACCTTCACGAATTGCAAATTACAAATTTCCATGAAACGCAAAGTCACCCTTTGATCTGATTGTCACTGTTTACTGAAATTGCCGAGACTACTACGATTGTTACAATCGACGTTGATAATAACCTACTCTACCTTCTTAGATTTCAGAGAAGACGTACGAAGAACCCCGAAAGCATCCCCTAGAAATGCCAATCTCATTTGCTGTTTCAGTGTAATTTAACCCTTGGCCTGACATCCTCGAAGTTACAGAATTGTCGGAGTGTTTATAGATCAACAACCATACACAGTTCGATAATATGACCAGGAGCGTATCGAAATGAGTGCCTGCCCGCAAAACTGTTATCGGGGCTCCCTTTATAAAAGGGTATAGCAAACAAAAATAGTGAAAATACCTTAAAAATAAACATATCCCTTAAAAATAGTCCCTGTTATGCCCGGGCCCGCCTGGAATGCGAGCCTTGCAGGTCCGATCGTTACGTCACTGCATATGATGTAACTCTTAGGATGGGGAGGGGACCTACAATGGCATATGATCCACTGCCTTTTGTTAGAGGTACCTACTTCTTCGACATTCATTTGGAATTTTTCTGAGTAAATCTTGGAAGCAAGCGATCAGAATAGCTAACCTGTAGAGATCTCATCTAAATAAACGTCCAACCCACTTATAAATAATAATTGGTATCGACGTCTCTTTTTCCTGGATGAGAGAGGCATGGGTTTTAATTGTTTCGATGGCAAAACAATCAAATCTATGCTGTTGATTATTTGTCGTTGAAAATTGTTTCTAAACCTCCAGAGCATGTTTCTTACTATCCAATTTTGCCAACAGCTCTCGTTGATACAGTTATTCATACTTCGCAAATGTCGAACACATATTAACTCACTATTTTATGAGTAGATCCTGGATTTACATGTGCTAAAATATATAAAATATATATGCACATAAGCAATGACAACTTTGAAAATATGCGCTAAAATAGGCCTTATAATAGTAGTTTATGCAACTAGTATATAATGTTAACTTTTATTGCATGGGTACATGAATTGAAAACAAGCGACGTTTGGAGCGTGTTTTCACATTTATAGGAAGGCAATCGTCGGAGCAAGCTCAAAAAAGCTACTTAATTTATAATTGTATATTTTATAAGCACGCTCCTGTCGTGTATTATTAATCTAGTTTTGTACAAATTTCTAACTCTAATTTGTATCCATATATTTAATCATTTATTTCTAGTGTTAAAGATTTAGCCGCAGTCGTGTTACAAGATTGCGTAACCTCCGTGCCCCTCCGTCTCGCCCGCGGTTCCAAGAACCTCGGCCCACGCATCTCCTTCGCCTGCGCGTTAGAAATTCTTGGAAGCGTAATGCAATCCGCGCGGCTAATGTTATTAGTACCCCACACCCAATTAAAACTCTTAATTGTGTTTGTCATATGCTCACGCACCTTCTTTTTAAATATACACTAGTCTAGCTTAACGCTTCTAATTAATAATAAACGAACGCTGAGTTTTCATTGGGTCATGCAGCTCGCATCCGCGAGAGAGCTCTCTTTCACCTTCGGCTGACGAACTCAGCAGTCGGGCCATAACTAGGGACGTTCGACTCATGTAAAAGAATCGATTCTGGAATCGATTATAGAATCGAAAAGTTGTAGACGACTCCAGAATCGAATCGAATGAAAATAATTGATTCCCTAAGGAATCGAATCAAATGAAAACACCATTCAACGAAGGTATGGATACCAGAATGGAGCAATTACTATTTAATAAAACACAACCAGGTATTAATTAATTACATTTTAATAACAATAATGAACCACGTGGTCGAAAAATATTATTAATGCCCCTGTTTCGCTATAATTGAATAGTGGTCCTCGGGAAGCAATACTGAGTTAGCGAGGTAAGTGATGAAGAAAGCAAACTCATAAAAAATCAACAGTATAGTGCTCCGCGACTGCTTACTCCTCCAGCAATAAAGTTACATTTTAAACGACTTGCATTCGCTTTTTTATATAACATTATAAATTTATAAAACAATCGAAGTTAATATATAATAATATAATAATTAATCTAATCTGAATATAATAATATATAGTAATATATAAATAATATAATAATTAATCTAACTTAATAATATAAACAATTAATTAGAATGTAAACATATTCTAAAAAGAAATAATTACATGTTATTTAATCTACTTTTGACAGTTTTGACATTCTGAGAGAATGTTTCCAACTCAGCTACAGGTAATGTCTTCTTAAATGTAATTGTATCCCTCCAGTGGAAGATTTTCCTAAAAGCAAACGCGTCCTGAAACCGCAACCCAGCAGCAGCGGCGGGCACTCACCCGCAACCCGACGTCCGGCTTCCTCGGCGGGGTGTTGGCGCGGGGCTCCGTGTACGCCCAGTCCTTGAGCACCCGCTGCACCTCAGGGTCGTCCGGGTCGACCAGGCGGAAGGCCGTGATGTTGGTGCCGCCGTACTTGAACTCGTCCAGATCGACGGCGTGCAGGTCGAGCGACGTGATGAGGTAGCTGTGGTAGTCGCTCATCATGCCGATCTGCTGCGCCTGCTTCAGCACCTCGTACACGCGCGTCGTCGAGCAGTCCAGCACGATGTGCGACTCGGCGCTGTTTTTGATTTGCTTCAGCAGCGGCCTGCAACACGCGAGAAAGGCAGGGGCTTGTTCATTCAGTGGAACGCAGGTGTGTTTTTTAATGAGGCTCGTTATTCAAACAATTTTGAAGCGAGTACTCTCCCTTTTGCTTTACAGGCTACTCATTCGGCCACACGCCCAACCAACTACCAAACTCTTACTGGCTCCCCCTACCACTCTCCACATCATTCTCCCGGTTACTCTCCACATCCCTCTCCACAACCCTCTCTACATCACTCTCCACATCACTCTCTACATCACTCTCACATCACTCTCACATCACTCTTCACAACACTCTCCACATCACTCTCCACTTCATTTTGTCACGCGATTACTCTCGAGCACCCTCGGTCCCTTACGACCCGTGTCCAAGTTATCCATTCGATTAATAAAATCCCTTGAATCTCATAAAATTTCAACTGGAAAACGCATAATGAATTAGACTTGTGTTGTTGATCATTAAGGTTGCCAGTAGGTGACACAAGAAAAATAAATTTAATTATTACCTCCATATGAGAGACTTACTGAATTGTTTTTTGCAGATTCCCTCTTATTTCAATTTAAATGAAAGAGGGGACTCTGCACTAGAAACTTGATGTGTGAGATGATTGTGAACTGTGGCCATTTTTTAAAAAAAATATTGAATTTCAACGATTTTACTCGTATCTTCATGTACAAAAATTGTAAACGTAATAGACGTTTTTCCTAATATACATTTTAACTTCAAAGTAAAACAAAGTTATTGACCTGCATCAGCAAAAATGCTGGTGAATAAAACTACATAAAATGTTTTCCCAAAAACAAATAGGCGTTCTATGCTTAAGAATAGCACGTAAAATATTCATAACACTGTAATAAATTAACTATTTAAAAAAACAGCCTTCACGAATACTTCAATAATATAGGACATTCCAAGAATATAAAAAAGTTGCTACTCCTTAACACAAAACGTAAATAGGAAATGTTCAATAGCGGGCAGCTTCTTCCTTGTAGCCTTGGTGTCGCAAGACTTACGCTGTGTACTAATCTACCACGCACTGCGTATTCAGCATTTATGCGCAGTATGACAATAGGCACAATAACACAATCAAAATTTGCATTTTCAATCAAAATAGAAATTGTTTTGTTGTTTTTATGTTTTCCCGAGTTCTTGGGTATCTAACAAACCGTAGTCATCCGTCACAGGGACGGAGACTATAGTTTTCTTTCAATTTCTGCATACACGGGAAATTAGTAATGTAGATCACAAAGCCACTTATCATTGTAGTATGCCTATCTACATAATGCGTTCTATCCATTACGCGAATGTCGAGAATTGATGACGCATTTCAATCCCTCTGTAAGATTAGTATTCGTGGAACTTCAAAGAGACATTTGAAAGGCAATGGTCCACCCACGGCAGCGCCTACGCGAGCGGGTCCTATCGGCCAGCAAAACATAGCGGGAGACGACTGAGAAACAAATGAAGACTTCGCCACAGAGAAACAAGAAATGCGCGCGTTCCGGACTGACAATCCTGAGATGAAATGTAACATGGAGGTCTATTTCTCGTGGGAGAGAGTAATTTACAGAAGCGTTGTGAAAAATGTTTGTCATCGTGTTGGAAAGAAAGAAACACAATCTTTAACACATGTCGTAGGTTTTTGCTATGGCAGTCAGAGCTAATTCCCGGCTGTAAGATATATTGTTTTCTGTATTTACTGTTTTCTTTATAAGACAATAAGTGATCAACTACTGTCTAAGGGAGAGACGAAACACAAGAAAATTACTTTTTTCTGCGTTTTTGTAAAGAGAGTATTATTAAGTGTGCTTTTTTTTAACAATAGTAATAACAATAAAATATTTATAGTGCAAGATGTACATTAAATTGCAACTATATTACTTAAAAGCTTTCCTATTTTCGTTTATTTTAGTTCCTAAAATTTATGGAAAGTAATCACATTACATCTCATTGATCAACAAATCATACTCAACATCTCGAAAATAACATCAACAATTTCTCAGAATCCTGCCACCTCACAAAAAGTAATTAGGATCACCCTCGAAAGAGTTTGCGTGTTTCCTTCCACGAGTAAGAATTTGCCCGATAACTGTTTCGCGAGAAAAATCTTTTTCTTATTTAGATAAGCTTTTGTAACTCAAAAGTTTCGAAACTTCGTTCGCAGAGATTTATCTATCTCTAACCCGGAGTAAATTTAACTTGGGCAAACCGGGTTACGAGAAGGTTCGCCGGCTCCGTCGACGATTTGTTGTTAAGTTCGCGCGCACCGCCGCCGCCGCCCCCTCTACCACCCCCGCCGCCACCGCGTCGCGTCAGTCACAATCCACTGACCGGCGTCGCCCGAAACAACCCCGGCACCCTGTGCCCCCGCCGTCTCTCTCTGGGGACGGCGCGTGGGCGGTGCACGTGGCCCGACGGCAGAGCGCTCTGCCGGCGGGCGGCAGCGGCGATCGATCCCGGGCGCGCCCGCGTCCCGCCCCGCCACACCGCCGCCCCCTGAGCCGCTGATCCGGCTCCGCGCCAGCCGTGCGCCCCTCTGCGAACCCCTGACCGACCGGATGCTTCCCGCCCGACGCCGCAGCCTCCGGCTGGTTAGCGCCTCCGCCTCGGGCAATCACTCTCGCCTTCGCCTGCTGTCACTCTTACGCGGTGCGTGGCGCTCTAACGGGATGTTTCCATTCGCCCTTTGGTTTCACACTTTCTCTTCCTCTGCCCCTCCTCTCCCCTCCTCTCTCTATCTCCATTTTTCTTTCATTCTCCATTTTTATTTCATTCTCCATTTCCCTCTATTCTCCATTTCTCATTTATTCTCCATTTCTCTTTCATTCTTCATATCTCTTTCATTCTTCATTTCTCTTTCATTCTTCATATCTCTTTCATTCTTCATATCTCTATCATTCTCCATTTCTCTATTTCTTTCTCCGTTTTCCCCTTTTCATTTATCTTTCTCTCTTGAATTATCTCTCTTTCCTCTCTCTCTCTCTCTCTCTCTCACTCTCTCTCTCTCTCTCCCTCCCTCTCTCTCCCCTATCAGTAAATTGCTTTCGTCCATTTCTCGCTTTCCCGTTCCCACTTTTCTATTCTTCAATTTCTTTCCCCATTCCGCAATCTGGGCTTGGTTAGAGCCTCCTATCGTAATCACATTCACTCGCGTCTGCTGTCATTTTTCTAGGTTCTCTTGCGAATACACAATGTCTCTCTGAAAGTAAATTTCACTCTTTTCTATTATCTACTTTCCTTTCTTTCTCTTCCTCAATCTCACTTCTCTCTCTCTCTCTCTCTCTCTCTCTCTCTCTCTCTCTCTCTCTCTCTCTCTATCGCATTCTTCCATTCTTCAATCGTTCTCCTCCTCTCCCCATCTTCCTCGTTCTGTTTTACAGTATCCTTCTCTAGAATTTATTTATCCTTAGTTTTTACCCTTGTCTTATTTATTCTCTTTAATTGATTCAAATTGTATTTCATAGTATCTTACTTGATTGTAATACAGTTTAAAATTCATCATTTGCTATATTATCCGCAGGAAATTGACCTTTTTAACTATATTATCTCCTTTCTTAACCTTTTGCTGTGTACTCATTACCGTGTTCACTATCTCCTTTATTACAAATTAGTGTATGGCTACGCATTGTTGCTTCATTCAGTGCATCTGAAACAATTTATTTGCATCACTCATTCATTCACATTTCTTAAACGTTGCCTCGAGTCACGTTTCCCTGCATTTGCCTTCCGACAGTTTTCACAACCTCAGCTACTCTTCCTAAGTATCTGATTATTCCCGTCTCATCCCCAGGGGCACCGATCCATGAGGGCATTGACATCCTCCCTCGTGTTGTTCATTAGCCTCCCCTCTGAAAGTGATCCTCCCCTATCTCGCAGGTCACTACGTCATTGGGCAACGCCCCCTTTTCATCGGCGCTTTGTGCATCTATTGCCCTACGTGTAAGTCGGTGGGACGACGTCCACTCCTAAACCACAATTCTCCACATTGTATTACATTGTTATCCCCTTCCATGTGCCCCTTCCATTTTCATAACTCATCTCTCTCCGCTCCTCTAACGTTCTACACCTTGCTCTTGTCTACACGATGTTTACGCTTAGATAAGAACTTCTGACATCTGTTGTTCTCAACACACAAAGTAATTAAGCGTATGTACTCCTGCATTAAATAATCTTCATTACTTAAAGTCAGAGTCATTTTGTTTTGTCCATTTTATCCCAAGGTTTGTTAATCTTGACATCCGAATTTTGTACATTTTTCAAAAACTTTCTGGGAAAAATAATAATATTACTTTGAAATAACATGGCTTTTAGTTCTGCATTCGCCCAACTGAATGGGGACTGGTAAAAGAATATTATTGGGATTCAGCGATGTTTCAAAACCAGCTGTGTACATGTCATGTTATCTGTCAAAACAAACTCACGCAGTGGAGTGCGGATCATTGCAAAGCCGCACCATTCAAATATTCCTTCCTGTCTTTCCAATATCCACCAGTGAGACATTCACTTCTTTCTGCAATGTCATTCGTATCTCAAATATCGTATTTCGCTCTGTATTCGACGTTCTTCTTTCACAGACGCCTTTTCCGCCCTCTGCTTCCCCTCCCCCTTTCGTATGATTTCTACTCCTCCTTTACTTGTCGAAGTTTGAGCGAGCCGTCACTTTGCATATTACCTCTCAGCCTCTTCCGCTTCGTCACTTCGGTGCTTCTGGCGTTTTTTGGTTTTGGGATTGGCTCTGTCCTGCAGAGACTCTTCCTTACAGGTACCATAAGATAAATTGTCTCCACCTCAAATGGCAGCTCTACTCCTCCGTTCAAGGATGCGTATTGGAAATGTGGGAGATTAAAGACGTATTTGTTATTAGGGATGTAGGGCGATGGACAGAAAGTAGGAAAAGGGAATATAGTAGTGGAGAGGAGGAGCTGGGAAAAATAGTGTTTTGTGTGTGTAATTTGTTTTTTGTGTATACACAACAATAAAAGGAACAATCAAATTAAAAC